GCGTTGTATACGTCGCTATGAGTCCCATATCGAACAGGACGCGGCACGACGACTGCCGCCCTTTAAGCATTGTTTTCCACCTTAGTACGACAAATCCTGCTCGGTTCATAATAAATAGATTAATTAAGGTAGCACAATTTACCGTTTGAACATCATGTGGAAGACGAAATCTATATCACTCAAGGTTTATTTAATAGAATATGTGTCTTGCAGCCAGCACAGTGGCGCCACCTAGAGAGGTGAACTGCGACCAATTCTGGAATGCCACAAATGGTAACATCCGCAGCTGGTCCTTCCCAGACAACTATGCCAATAACATGGACTGTGATATAGTGATTCAAGTTACTCAGGGATATCAAATCATCTTGGAATTCTTAGACTTTGTCATGGAGGAAGGTGGCGACTGCCAATGCGAGTACGACTATATTCAAATATTCACACCTGGTGGTGAAGAGGAACCCGATACTGTTTGCGGCAACCAGACGGACAGTATCAAACTCTTACGGCGGGTCACAGACATTAATTTGCTCATAATCAGGTTTCACACAGATCATTCCCGCACATTTGAAGGATTTAATGCGGTGTATAGTGTACAGCGAGGTGAGTGATTGTTTTCGGCGTATACAATACAGAATTACCGTATATTAAACGAGACCTTGGGGTAAACATTTCTTTATGTTAAGAGAACAGCTGCGGGTATTGAATGTTTTTTTTCCCCATTTTCTTATTTACTTTATAGGTTTGGATAATATTATGAGGTTATTACGAGGATACCTCAAACTATGCACGAATACAGCACAGCGCGCGGGAGTATCGAACGACGCGCGGCGAAGGTCGAGGCGACGGCGTACTGTCTGAGTGCATACTTTGAGGTATCCTTGTAATAACCTTATTATTATTCTAATCTTTGCCTTCCAAGGATACACCATGGGAATGCCGAAAATCAAAATGTTTAGAACAGAATCAGCGAACTTCTTTGTGTGGAGTCTGGTCAAACCCTGGTAGCAGCCATGTTTGTTTTTATTATTAGAGGACGCTTACGCGCGTAATCATTCCATATTTGGAATTCGATTTTCCTAATATGGTAGGATGAAAATACCCCGTAAAATACCATAAAATTACGATACGCTGTAACTTATGGCGTCACGGTGACAGATGTATAATAATACTAAATATTATTACATATTTTTGCTAAACAATAATTATAGTATATATCTGCGGTCAAATAATTTTGTATCCACTAACATTGCGTTCAATTTCTATGGAAGGCATCCAACTAGTTTAACCTTGCATCGGTTTCAGTAGACAAATAACCTCGCTAGTATAACATTTGCCGATATGATTGAGCTTATCGCAGAGAGATATTTATGGGTCCAAACTCATAAATTCCCGCAGGATGATTTCCGACATTTTGTGATAAAGATGACTTTTATAATTAATCACTTAAATATGTCAAGGGTTGTCTTATTTTATAAATAATAGATTTTTTTGAATTTATTGGAAATTTGTATTCACAGTCGTAACAAAGTATTAATAACTAATGCCATTAGTAACATCCAATTTTGTTCAGTTCTTATCAATGACGTGTCCACTGGGTTTCTTAATGTATGTATCGTATACAAACTCAGATCAAACAGTGTAAGATGCTTTCATACTATTTAGTATGATATCACGTAGCCTTATGTTCCACAAGTGTAACAATCTAGTGTAGGAAAAGTCTAATTATCAGCTCGGATGTGACTCAGTTTGGGTCAAAACCGCTTCTTATACTAAGTCCCCTTAGACACCAAATGGTCTGTCAATATTTTTCTCTTAACCAGTTACTATTTCGTTCTTTTGAAACTGTAACAATGTCTGTGTAATAACCAGAAAATATGTCAACTGCTTTTGTGCTCTTCGATAAAAGTAAATGCAGGCTCTGGTCTCTCTAGGACCTGAATATTGTGACAATGACAGGTGGATTTTTTATAATGGAATATGCTACCTAATAAACCAGAGCAAACTTGATGAGGTGTCCTGGACGGTGGCGTCGTCTGTGTGTGATATCTATAACGCTAGCTTAGCGAGTATTACTGCACAAGATCAGTATTATTTTCTGGAAGAGCTTATTAGGTGGAATAACGGGTATGTAGCGGGGGATGTCTATTGGTTGAGTGGTAGTGATGTCCAGAGTGAAGGGAGATGGACGTGGCATGATGGGCAGCCATTTAGCTTTACAGGTAACATCGTTCTGTATTCAATGATACATCTCACATACATCTTTTAAATAGTTATTTTGGACTGACTTGAATAAATAACGTACTTTGTGGGGAAAAAACACGTTAATATCTAATGCATGAACACAGAGAAGTAGTTGTGCGCTGATCAATCATTTTGAAACATTTGACACCGCATCTAGGCTTCGAGCTGCTTATATCTTTCTGTATATCTGTCGTATATCTATTTTGCATATATGAACGTTCTTGATAACAGCTGTGGCTATGCATATATACCATTTCAGCTTGGTACCCAGGTTTTGGGGATGACGACCGTCAGTACAACCGTCAACCGAGTAACACATCCAATCATGACTGCCTGTCATTAACACAACGGTTTGAAACTTCAAATGGTGCTCTGAGAGTGGTGGACAGGATGTACTGGAGAGATGAACTATGCAATAAAAAAGCCAAATATATTTGCCAAAAAAAATCATTATGTGAGTTATTTGGGTAATTACAATACATATAGAAATTTCTTATTTGATTGGGTCATTGTATAATCATCAACAAAGAGAGTTGATCATCAAATGTATCAGCTTCAATGGAGCAAATCGTATTTCATAGGTTTTAATATCGGTAGAAGGTTGTAAGCAGCGATTGCATGATGAAAATACACGATTGGATGCATCCACGTGGTATTAGTCCCTGTAGTCATATATATTGTGTTGTAAGGGGTGATCACCTTTTATGAAAGAGGAACTTATTATACGGTGATCCGCAAGCATGATAAATGTACGTAATTAGTCTCATCAAACTTGCGTAATTTCATGCTGTATTCACTTAGCTGATTTGGGGTCCCGCAAATTAACGGTCTAGTGCGGAAATACTACGCGGTCTAAATTATTTATTTACGAGAATCGTTTTTTTACATGGTTGCTTTTGCTTCTTGCTGGGGGATGGGTTGTGTTTCCAGGTTTAGTCCGGTTTGCCTTGACGATGTATATATTAATCTCCAGGGTATCGACTAAGTCTTTCACATTTCCTTTTTTGATTTCAGCTATGCCACAAGTTGATGAACAACCATATCAATTACTCCTAAGCGGTATGGTTAATTTTAGCAGTCCAAACTTTCCGCACAAATATGACAACAACGTGAACAATGTGACTGTAGTACAAGTGCCTTCTGGATACCGAATAAAAATAGCGTTTTTAGTTTTCGCCTTAGAGGATCACAGTGAATGCCTTTATGACTTCCTAAGTTTAAAAGACGACGCGCAATGTGTTCGTTTATGTGGAAACAAATCCGAGCATCTGGATGAATTGACGTTTTGGTCTTTTACGAATTTTACAGAAATCACATTCCACACAGATCATTCTATAAGAAATACGGGATTTTACGGATATTACGAAATCGTCGATGTATTATCTTGTCTCAATAGGACAATTACAGGAAGACGGGGGCAGCTACATAGTTTTAATTTCCCGGAAAAATACCTTTCCAATTTGGATTGCCGTACTAATATAAGAGTACCACGAGGTTATCGCGTGTATCTACAATTCGAACAGTTCAAATTGCAAGATTCTGCCGATTGCAATGATGATTACGTTGTGATTTTTTTGGATGGAGTCGGCATGCGGCGTACTGAAAGGTACTGCGGGGATCACAGCTCAGACATCTCAGTCATGAAGTTTGTCTCATACCAGTCTACGATGAGTGTAATATTTCATAGTGAATTCAATGGATCGACGGGATACTTAGCAACATTCTCTGCAGGTAACACGTGATTTGGAAAAACCTTATCTTACATGGCGAGCTAAATATCTAGAAATGGTTTAGAATAACAGGCACTTCTACTATTCAATTATAACAATGATGTATTTGGAAATCAAATAGTGAACACGTTCATATTTTACCGTATATGTATTCTCTTAGAAAAAGTACATTATAAATGAGACGATTGGGGGAAATGCCCAGGGTGCACACTAGGACATTTTTTTTCTCTCCTGGGATTTTTTCAAAACTTATTGTGATATATTTACATGATCTAGTTCACGAAATTGCCAAAAGTACATCATCTAAATTAATAAGCAAACCAAAATTGACATTCATATTACATGTGTCTTGTGTTAACAAATTGTTCCATTAACGTATCATGCTGTTATTTTTACATCGCTAAACGATTTTATTGAGAGTTTCCTATGTGTACATTCTCCTTCACAGTGAAACACGCTAAAGTCGTTATTGATGTGCATAGCGATCTGACAACCAGTGGAGTCATCTCTAGCCTTAATTATCCAAATCCTTATCCGATTAACACAAATCTCACAATCATCGTTCGAGGACCACAGGATTCACACATAATTGTGACATTTGAAGGGTGTCTGATGACCGGATCTGCTCACTGTGCAAGTAAACTGAGAGTGTATAATTACTTGTTGTATAGCGAACGGCGAGAGATTGGCCAGATTATGTGCGGAGACGAGTGTAACATCACCACTGAGGATGTACTAACTGTCCAGTCAACACTGAATACACTGTTCATAGAATTCGTATCACATGATTTTGAACTGGAAGGATTTCAAGCTCGTTACCGCGTCACACAGAGTAAGATTACTATGTTATGTACCTAATGAGTTAAATTTACATAGTGTGCTCCTATAAAAATGTGTGTATCGGATCATAAGCTGGTTATTGAAATATTCAATGAAAATACGTTTTTAATCTGCAAATCCGAATTTATCACTCGGCATATAATTTGCCGCGCTTTGTTTTACAGATTATCGATTATTTTTTGATATACTTCATGTAGGTAATGACACGTGTGCGGAAGCATACTGTAGTCAACATGGTAGATGCGTTTACAAGAACAACCAGTACTCGTGCTCGTGTGATTCCGGCTTCAAAGGTGAGCAGGACTTGTATAGAACAATGATAGGAAACTGAGGCTTATTTTCTTTGGTGCATTGTGCCTAATAAACTAAAATACCTTAATTCAGTGCTAATTGCTATTAATGGTCCAGAAATGTTTTAGTGTGCCTCTGTTTTCGGTCATGGAAGATTGACACATTGCTATGTAATTAGAATGAAATATTGTTTTGCTGTGTACAGTGTGTAATTGTGTAATATAATTGATGATTGATAGTTTTAATATTGACGTAGCGGTGTATTATTCTATAAGCCCCTTGACCTCATCACAATTAGTTAGTAAGTCAATAATTATTATTCTATATGTTAAGTGGTCCCATGGCAGTGTAGGTTCAACACATAGAATGACGATAATTGACATGCTGTTATTAATTCGTGTATTATCTGGCAAGAACTGGGTATTCCAGGGTACTTTAGAATAAAGGAGCGACGGATTATATATAGTAGAAGTAATCCCCCGTGTAACCATCGACTATATGCAAACAAAAGTGTTTTTTTTTTCTTTTTTTGCCTTGAAGGATTATTTTGCGAAAACATCAACATAGAACGAGGAAAGACTTTAATGGAAAGATTAATGGAAGATCCATTCTGGATTGGGATTATTGTCATCCTGGTTTTTCTTCTATTAGGCATGTCGGGTGTATTCTTGCGGAAAAAAATCGGCAAACATTTAAAAAATAAGCGAGAATTGAAAAATATAGGTAAGGACACTTAATCTGACGTCGATAGTATTGTTGTGCGCATTCTCTTTTTATTAAATCGTTTCCTGTCTAATAATTCGTTTTAAGAACTGTCTACTGCACTTCATGTCGCATTTCGTCACTATAACGTGGTGGCGCATTTCCAAACACAGTCTTAAAAGATAAAGTGACACCGACAGTATTCAAACAATGTCTAAATACATAGTTACTTAGGAAATTTACAAGTCACGGAATGACTAACTGGAAAATATTCGGTAAGCACAAACCTTCAGAACTACAGCAAGTACACGTTGTTACACGTTTTCCCAAAATTATGGAGTTATACATATTGGAATTACGTAATCGGTTTGGAAAACAAAAAGAACTAAATGAAAGGTATATACTTGATTTCGTATCGCATGCAATGTCAAATTTAGTGGCGCATACATGCACGTTAACAGAACACCATGATATTAAAACTAAAATATATATTGCATTTTAAAATGGGTTTGTTCTCAAAACAATATTTAATAATTTAAACAAATGTTAATGTTTTTTAAAAAGACTATGTTTAATTACTCATAGAATGTCATTGAACACAGTGTACTAATGCCTATAACAACTTCAAATAGGCAGATTTCATAGTGTTGGGATAATACTCATATTAATTCTAATACAATTATGTTTCCGAATATAAATCCTCGAAATTGTTCAATGAATGGCCTGGGCATTTGTCATAGATTGCGTAAACGCCACAGATAAAATAAACTCCATGTAATCATGTAAATACATCTTTGTACCGTAAATTTATTGTTTGTTCCAAAATTAGACCCATTTCTTAATCGAATGAGATTGAATTGGAGGGAATGAACGGCGGCGATCTTTTACATGCAAATGTATAAGTGGCCTTACATAATTAGAGTTATAAAATGAGTTTAGGTCTGGAACTAACAACAAATATTAAATCTGATATTGTAAGCACACGAATGTGACTATGACTTCCTAAATTATTCTACACGTATGGAATGTTCTCCCCTATTGGCTATATGTACTGGCACAATAATTTAATATTTTCTTCTCTTTCCAGTTTTTCTTAACATCTACTATACCATCTTACAGTCAAAGTGTTATTGTCGGCAAAACTTGAAAGTTGAAAGCCCTTTGGTTATAACTTGGCCACAATAATGTATATAGACGCCCGGTAAATTCAACAAGAAAGATTACTATAATTAATATTAAATCTGTTATAATCCGTCTTCGGTCGTCGGACAGAGGATCCCGCGTGATTTGGTGGTTTTATGATCCCTTTATTAGATGCTGGAATCTCAAACTGAATCTACCCAATTGCTCGATGATGTTTTGCAAGACTGATATCTTGCAAATCTTGGATTTACAAAAATAATTGTTGCTTTACGTGTCAAATGTTTCAGATTTTTTTCCGACAATGCAACTCTAACTTCTAAGCACACTAACTTGCAAAATTATTTTTTGTTTTTATTTCTATCACGTTGCGTTTTCTTCCTTCAACATCACAGGTAATCAACTGCACGTTAACCCCGCTTCGCCTAACTCATTCTCAGGTACATCATCAAATACACGTGCTAATAGAGGCGAAGCTGTGCGTTTCCGTGACGACCACAGCTTAATGCGGGTTAATGAAATCATACTAGAAGAGATCGTAGGAGTGGGCATCGAAAACGGACATGCTGGGCGTGGTCAATACGATATTGAAGAAGAAGATGAGGAAGAGCAAATTGCAAATGGAGAGCATGCAGCTAATATATCACCAGGTGGTGAATCAATTCAGAGATACTTGTAAGTTTCAATAACAAAGTTCCTACCAAATATTTAATTAAAGTTGAATTGTATACAATTCACACACACACACAAGTGTAATTGTGTCAATGCACAGGGTCACATATGCACTCACAAAAGAAACCCCCATTTTGAACTGCTTGCAGGATATATCATGCTTGTCTTGCAAATGGTTATGTTTAATATAATATTACAATTTTAACGAAAACATACCAGTTTGAAAATGGTTGAGACATATACATTGTAATCATAACATAATTTACGGGGAGTTTAATTGTTATATGAAACTCCCACGATAATATCTAGAATCTAAACTAGTCAGTCAGTTAGTCGCCACGTACCACTGTGTGCAGTTGCCTGCGTCTGCATTAAACTCAACAGGAAGTATTGTTTCCTTGTACCGACTAGGCGAAATAGAAATTAGTATTAACGCGACTTGTATGCGATACATCGAGGCGAACTAAGAGAATGACAACAAAAGACGCTAACCAGATTTGTAATCTGTGCACGAACTCAGAACATCGACATTTCATTGAACTCCAGTTAATGTTATAAACGCTTCCGTAGATTTAACGAGACTTGGACAGGTTTGTGTTTCAGTGGAGCGAATTGGACATAATTTTACCTAATTATGTCTCCTAATTTGTGCTCTCTGCACGCATTTCGAACATCGACGTTTCATTCAACTCCATTTATCGTAATGAATGTGTTTCCACAGTACTATCGCAACTTGATGATATTTGTGTTCCGCCAATATCGAGACGTAAACGGCCAAATGTCAACAAAATCAATTTTGTCCAGTTTGTAGTTTACACACGGAGATTGCAACATCGAACATGTCTTTTGAAATACATTCAATATGAAATAAGTTCATTGTTTGGAGAAGTGTCCATTACATGTAAGTGAGGTATACCTAATGATTTGTAATATGACAGAAATTAGATTGTTTCATTTAAAGGGCGATAGTTGTCGGCAATGCACATGCAAGAGTTCTGTTAATGAACGTTGTTTGTTTTTTCTAAATCCGTTGTGCTCTTCCAGTGGCGAGCATGAATGGGAGTTTTGATCTGGCCGCGTGTACACTAAATATTGTTATTGTGTCGATAAACAACGCGAGAAAGGCTATCGCGTAATTGTATAGTTTTGTGACTATGACTTTATTATTTTGATTAATATACATGTGTTGCATGCGCCATTCGTTTAATTCCTTTACTCTTATGTTTACTAATGTTAAGATGGTGTATTCTTTACTTCTATACAGATTTACTTTTACTTGTTTTACTACCTGGAAAGCCCCCTAGCTTAATTGACTGGCGAAATGAGATTATATTTCTACAGCCAATTGAATGATAAGATAAAGTAACGGGTCGCAGTAACGGCCACGTCAGTGACTTGTCTTTCTGAATAAATGATGAACGCTACGATCCGTCGTGTTCAACATGGGTCCCATGTGACATATAAAACACGTACATTCCATGCCACATGACAACCACCGCCCTAACTCTTGCGATTGTGTGAATTGATAATTATATCTGTGAATAACAGTTTGGAAAATGAATAGGTTTCTGGGAGTTTTTTGTCACTGAAGTAGAAATAACAACATATCCAATCGATATTCTTATACGTAGTCATTACAAGTCCGAAAACACAAAATTTATCTCACAATAAAGTAATCCACAAAGACAAAGCAAAACACCACAGCACATAGTCAAATCTACGAGAGACAGATATATAGATCTCATGGTAAACATGAATTGATGTTAGGTGCCAGAAAGGATAGAATAAATGATAGAGGAATACTTGCACAATATACACGATAAGCGGAAGTACTCACACAATGCAAAATCACTTTATGCAATTCCATATTCACCAAAGTGATGTGTTCTTTACAGTGACACAATCCAACATGTATTATATCAATGTGTCTTTGTCTAGCCTTCCAGTTTTGAATCTCCCCCGTGTTTTTGCAGCTGTTGACGCAAAAGTAAATGTATATTACTTGAACCACCGTTCAATACATATTATTAGTATAATTAATGTATTTTATATTAATATTTACAAAAATGTACAATAGCTCATCCTTTACTTTGAAAATTGGTTGTCATAGAAACAAATTCTAATCTGATAGTTGTATCTTATAATTATTTTCATATCGTTTTCAAGACAAAATAGAAAGTTTTGTTTGAATGGTACATGGTATACCGTTTAGACATAAACTACTATCGTAATTTTTTAATAGATTTCTTTTCAGAAATGTTAAACGACACTAATATGAAAAATATGGAATTACGTACAATCAAACACAGAAATATAATATACTAGTGTATTATTTATATTGAAATTGTATTAGACTAACATTATGTAAAGTCTTGCCTTGCTTGTAAGTTTGTGTTTTTTGTAAGACAACATTTACAATATTATTTTACTGTATATGTCTAATGTGTTTATATGTACGTTTATATTTTAGTCTTCCTCGTAAGGCAATTGATTGATCAATGAAAGGTAAAACGATGTATTGACATTTCCGAAACCGACCTTCCTAAATATGAAATGTATATTTTACCCAAACCTAACCCTTGTTGTTTTTGGATTCCAAAACTCCAAGCCATCTCACAATCCCCCAATATATATATATATATTTAGTCGCCTGCCTCTCCTGTAAATTTGTTTTGTTAGATTTTTAAATAAAATAAAAATATTATTTTTTTATAATATTACCCCATTTTTTGACCGGATCTTGCATGTTTTCACTCTCACCCGTTATCTATGCCATCACGGAACTGAATCCTTTATAAATGTATTTCATGTGCATATGTGACTAGTGCGGATGACAGTGGTGGGATTTTCCCCAAATACAGCAATCCAAAATAAATGCTCACAACTGGGAACAATGCTCGTCCCAGACAAGCATATAGTTGTTGCTCAGAGATGATTTTGTTTTCACATCACTACGGTTATAGAAAAGATGATGTATCAAGATCGTCTTGTTATCAAGGAGGAACCACAATTATTTGGTCCACAGAGTTTTTAATTATGACATTTTTTTAATATGTCTGTGTACACGATAGCAACCACGTGTCATTGGCAGTGCTGTATGGCATATGTGAGTTGAAACAAAATAAACAATTCAAACTAATTCAATTTTGTAATTTAATTATAGGGAAAGTAGAGGTACAGTGGCAACAGCCTTGAGTGGACTGGTATCAGCAGCGGCGCTTTCAAATGTGAATGCAAGAAAAACACAGCAGCGTCATCGCGAAGAATCCGATCATGACAATGTTGGAGGAACGCGCAAATTTATCTCTAACATACTGAAAAGGCCAAATTATTCTAATAATATCACTTTGGGTACAAAATCTCCCTCACTGCGACGACAATCTTATTTACGGACCGGAAAAAAGACACTGCAGAGGCAGAATACACCAGTGAATGGCTGTTCAATAAAAGACGGATACCTTGAGGGGACAAACGAAGCTAATCACGAGTTAATCAATACCTCCATGCAAGACAGGAACACTGATGGGGAATACTTGAATCAAATATTTGTAGCAATTCATGACGAGAGTGTTACTGATGATGAATGCAGCTCTAGTAGAGACACTCCGCGTATTTACGAAGAAGAGTTCAGTGAGGGGATTTCGGAAAGTAGCAATGAGTTGGAGGAGCCTGACACGCTCGTGTGTAATGATATAAACCAGGTGTCAGAATCACTATTATATACAATTGATGAAACATCAAAGGAATCTGATGAATACTCTTTGCATCAAAGCTCCAGCGTCTCGGAAGATTCATCAGTTGAGCTACCAGAGGTTCAGCCTTACAGAGGAAGGTCCAAGGAAAGTCTTCACTCACTCCATAACCAACATGTCATCTGTGAAATTGACGGCACCGAATACTCAGACAATGTCGATATTAGCGAACTAAATGACTGCAATTCTACAGATCTAAGTCAAGTCGCCATGCAAGTTCCACGTGGTTCTTTATTCTCTAAATCTTTCTCCACTAGCCTTGAAGGAGTTAGTCGTTTCTCGGATTCGGACAAAGAAACCGTAGTTGTAAATCATCGAAACGGGGACTTGCCACACCAGACCTCACAGAACCTGGATGATTATGACTTGGAAGACGGTGGATATCACCGGGCACCCGAGTCATTACAATCCACGTCCATAGTCTCAAGTTTTGACGGTTCGGATGATATGTTGAAAAATGAAGAGCATGGGGTCTCAGAACAACCAAACCACCTCACTCGTCAACGGACTACTCCAAGCACTTCAGAATTGGATACGATCAATGAAGGTGAAATAACAAGGCATGATAAACGTAGAAATGGTACAATTTACTCAAATAAAGAATGTACTATTTGTGAAGAAACAGTTTGAAATTGCCTGTGTTATGTGTACTTAGTCCTTATTTGGTGTTCCTCTGTGTTCCAAATACTATAACACAATCCGGAATGTATTTCCATATGGTTACATCATACATTCGTTGGAAAAAATCAGTAACGCTTTTACAACCATTTTCAAATTTCATCATCTCCCTTATAAAACACACATATTCAAAAATCTTGCATTGATATTTTTACGGACACTATCATTATTGAATACGTGTATACAGAGTGCCTTGATTTGTAATCTTGTTTGTAGTTTTCTTCACTGTAAATATTTTCTTTACCTCTGTTCTGCTGGTCAGAGTTTCATTTTTTTAATAATATTAGCATTTTGTGGGCTGATTTTTAAGCTCAAAGCAAAACTGGTGGATGGCTGTCGTGAAAGGACGTTCCAGAATTTCCGTGGTTATATACCGTATCGTATAATGCTATGGTATAACGATGATCGAAGGAAATCGACAAACTCAGAATAGAGTATCCGCTATATACTCCGTTATTCAAAACGGCGCGCGATTCGATCGAGTAGCCGAAACTCCCCAGTTCACGACAGCCGTCACTTGACGGTACGAGACTTAACCAATCGTGGTTTATATGTCGTAACCATCACGTGACAAAGATTTAACATCTCGTGCAGTACCAATACACCCCAACCTCATTAATGCATCTCATGTGAATACTTAATAGCAGTGATTCGCCAAGTGGTTGGGGTCGTGTTAACATCACATTTTTAACGTATGCATATATTTAAACCAACGTAACACATATCACGTGTTACATTAATTAGATATTCATTCTGAATTAAAATAATTAAAGAGTCTTCAATTATTTAATAACTTTTTTTTACATTCTTCAACAGAACGGTAAATCTTGTTTGAATTGTATTATATATTAAACTTGTTTTCTTTTTCAATTACTCATTGTGCTAAATATCCAATGCAACTGAAAACATACAAGACGGGCGTATACATACTTATTTTATGCAATTACGATCTTAGAAATTTCTCAGAACTATCTCGCGAGATTTTTTTTGCGAGATGCGTATGACGATTATAGTCTCCCTCAGTAACTCAATCTACTAACGAGTGTGTACATCGAAATGGAAATGACAGTAACAGCTCAGAGGTTTCCGGGTGCCTGCATAATCGATTACGAGCGCTGCAGAAATTATTCTTATGATAAAATATGACGGCTTCAGGGTATAATGAAATGGGTTCCATGACGAGACACTAATTATATCTCTTTGTGTCATCTCAAAATTACTACAAAAATTGAGTACTTTTATACGAACTTTAATAAAGATATATGTACATGTTGTTAGAATCGAGAATAATTCTCTCTGCCTTAGGATCGTATCTATTCACCACGAGCGGCTGGCATACATGCAGAGTGTTGCTTATATTGCAGTTATTAAGAACTTGGGGTTACACAAAATTCTATTTACGATGTAATTATGATTTTATTTTTTGTATATACAGAGAACGTCAATATTTTGCCAGAATTCTGTAGCTCATATTATATTTTCTGCATCGGATTATCACTCGACCTAGAGTTTCAGTTTAGACGTATTTTTAATATTTCAATCGATTTGACACCGAAGACAGCCATGTAGAAACAAATGTATCGCACTACTGGGTATCACGAAACTCGGTTACTTGGGTTACAGCAAGGCTTAAGTGCATTTTTAATTAGAGATATTTGTGGAACAGATAGTGTACACAAAGAACATAATAGAAAATCGCAGACGTCTGTGACATATTTTGATATCTATTCGGTATATGCACCTTTTCACCTATGTAGGTATACACCTATGTGACGTCAACATATGCTGCCCCGGTTTTTATTTGTCTAATGCATAAATGGGAGTATACAATGTCCTTACTTAGTAAGCAAATAACACCGAATAAACGGCAAGGTAAAGACTATGTCTAATTATAGTAAATACGTACTGCGTGCGTGACTCGAACCGGCGCTCGCGTACGGCACCTAATCGCCTAGCTTCACGCCACTACACGTCTTCCCCTCGGCCACCGGGCATCCCCAAAAAAGGATGCTTAATAACCGAGCTTATTACGTGCAGAGAACGTGAAACCCGTCCACGCGATACGCGCCACACAGCATGGCCAGAATGCGGCAAAGGCCTTCAGATCTGGCTGTAGTAGGATGGTGAAAGTAATGGTACAGCATTTTAACAGTGAATAAGTACTGAGAAATAATTTTTAAACTCATAGTTGCTGTCGACATAGGAAGTAAAGTAAGCAAATAACACCGAATAAACGGCAAGGTAAAGACTATGTCTAATTATAGTAAATACGTACTGCGTGCGTGACTCGAACCGGCGCTCGCGTACGGCACCTAATCGCCTAGCTTCACGCCACTACACGTCTTCCCCTCGGCCACCGGGCATCCCCAAAAAAGGATGCTTAATAACCGAGCTTATTACGTGCAGAGAACGTGAAACCCGTCCACGCGATACGC